TCCTGGGAGACCTGGTGGATCAATTTCAAGAGTTCATTAAGGACTAGACTTTAACGACAGGTCCATTGTATTCACCTGGTTTTCACTGGAGACCAAAACCCCTCCCAGTTTCAGCTGCTGTTCTTAAACTGGACTGCTGTTTTTTAGTGCATACACTGTTTTGGAATTCTCCTGTTTGTCGGGTCTTTCGGATGGTCTGTCAAATCCTGCTTTCTCCCACACAGATGCCAATAACCTGTTGGTCTTGTGGCTGTGGGTGACTTGCCCTTACCTGTTTCTATTTTGGGGTTCGTGGAGATATGTTGTCACCTATTTTCATTGTAAATACTGTCTACGGTTTTTTTTTTTTTCATTTTTATTGATGTATAACTTACATGTAGAAAAGTACACAAACATAAGTATAGCTCATTGAATTTTCACATACTGAACACATCCATGTAATCAGTACCCAGATCAAGATACGAAGCACTACTAACACCTCAGAAGCCCCCTCAGGTCCAATTCCATTCATAATCCCCCACTAAGGGTGAACACTATACTGGCTTTTAACCAGCACATACAAGTTTCATCTGTTTTTGAACTTTACATAAATGGAATCATGCAGTATATAATCTTTTGCATCTGGCTTTTTTCACTCATAATTAGATTAGGTTTGCAAGATTAAGCTATACTTGCCACTTACAGCTTTAGAACTATAATTTAACCTTATTGCTACACAGTATTCTATTGTGTGAATATACCAAAATTTATTTATCCATCCTAGTATTTATGGGCATTTCAGTGGTGTCCAGTGTGGGCTAGTACAAACAATGCTACTATGAACAGTCTTATACAGGTCTTTTGTGGTCTCATTCCTCCTAGGTATATACCGAGGAGTGAAATTGCCAGGTCATGGGGGTATACACATGTTCAATTTTTGTGTATCACTACCACCCAACACTAGGTTCCCCATCTTTATTTTTTCCTTTCATCTATTTACTTAGGGCTTACTTTTGGTCTTTTTCCCCCACTTCTTAAGGTAGAACCTTAGGTAACTGATTTTATATTCCTTTTTCCTAATGTAAGTGTTGAAAATTATACATATTTTCCTTTCGGCATTGCTTTACTTGTATCTCACAAATTTTGATGCTGTACTTTCATCATTCAGTTCAAAGCATTTTCTAATTTTCCTTGTAACTTCTTCTTTGAAATAATAACCATGGTTTATTTAGAGGTATGTTGTTTAGTTTTCAAATATTCAAGGGTTTTCTAAGTATGTTATCAATTTCTAATTTAATTCCATTGTGATCTGAGAACATATGCAGTATAATTTCAATTTTTGAAAATTTATTAAGACTTATTTAATGGCCTGGTATACAGTCTACCTTGGTGAATATACCATGTACATTTGAGAAGGCGTATTTTGTAGTTGTTGAATATAGTTGTTCCATAAATGTCAAATAGGTTAAGGTAGTTGATAGTGTTGACTAGATTGTCTGTGTTCTTACTGATTTTTTGTTTAGTAATTCTATCAATTACTGAAAGAAAGGTATTAAAACATCTAACTATGATTGTAGATTTGCCTATTTCTCCTTTTGATTCTGTCAAATTTTTTCTTCATGTAATTTATTAGGCACAAACACATTTATGATTGCTATGTCTTCCTGATAAACTTCTCCTTTCTTTTATCAGTATGAAATGTCCTTTTTTTTTTTTTATCTCTAACACCTTTTGTCTTGAAGTCTACTTTATCTGATATTACTATAGCTACTGAAGCTTTCTTGTGCTTACTGTTAACACAGTATATCTTTTTTGATCTTTTTACTTTCAACCAATCTGTGTCTTTACATTTAAAATGCATCTCTTATAGACAGCATGCAGTTGGGCCCGATAATCACTCCCTGATTCCTAATTTGAAGGTTTATTCCATTTATATTTAAGGTGTTCTGAATTTGGCCATTCTAATAGGTGAGTAGTGGTATCTCATTATTTAATTTGCATTGTCCTGATGACATATGATGTGCAGCATCTTTTCACATGCTGATTTTCCATCTGCATACCTTCTTTGGTGAAGTATCTGTTAAGATCTTTGGCCCACTTTTTAATCAGGCTGTTCATTTTCTTATTGTTGAGTTTCAAGAGTTCTTTGTATATTTTGGATAATAATCCTTTATCTGATATATCTTTTGCAAATATTTTCTCCCAGTCTGTGGCTTGTCTTCTCATTCTCTTGATGCATTATTTTTTTAAGTGTTTGCTCTAGGAAATACAATATTCATCTCTAACTTCCCAGTCTACTTAGAGTTAATATTATACCATGTGGTTGGCACCCAACAATCCCAGCCTCCTGATATTCATGATCTTTTGTAGTCCCCTCCCACACCATATCAGCATTGGTCTATGTGACCAAAAGAATATGGCAGAAGTCATAGTACATCACTTCCGGCATTAGGTTATAAAAGATACTGAGGCTTTTGATCTTAGTCATTCCCTCCCAGATCGTTCGTTCTGAGGAAAGAAAGCTGTTAAGTTGTGAGCAACCCCTTGGAGAGACCCATGCAGTGAGGCCTCCTGCCATCAGCCACATTGATGGGCTTAGCAGTGGATCCTCTAGCCCCAGTCAAGCTTCCAGAAGACTGAAGCCCCACCTGACAGTTTGACTGTAACCTCATAGAGGCCCTGAGCTAGAAACACCCAGTTAAGTTTCTCTTGGATTCCTCACCCTCAGAAATTATATATGATACAATAAGTGTTTATTCTCTTAAGCTGCTAAGTTTTAGAGTAATTTGTTACATAGCTATAGATAATATGTTCCATTTCACATAAAATAGAATCTCACAAAGAAATAGTTCCATTTACCCCCTGCCCTTTTTGCTATAGCTATCATATGTATTACATTTGTTACATTATAAATGCCACAAGACAATATTATAATTTTTTCTTTAAAAAGCCATAAATAGTTTTTAAAAATTAGGTAGAGAGCAAGAGATAGTCCTCTGTATGAGGGTACTTCAAAAAGTTCATGGGAAGATTCATACTATCTTTTAATTCTATTTTCCACAAACTGTTTGAAGTACCCTTGTATTTACCCATATAGTTAAATATTTCTGCTGCTCTTCACTCCTTGAATATCCAAGTTTCTATCTGGTATCATTCCCTTCCGCCTGAAGAATTTCCTTTTTTTTTTTTTTTTTTAATCTTTTTTCGTGACCAGTAACGGGATCGCAACCCTCGGTGTCGCGCCCGCACCGCGCTCAACCAGTGAGCGGACCGGTCTCTATATGGGATCCGAACCCTCGGCGGGAGCGCCACCGCGCTCCCAAGCGCTGCACTCTACTGAGTGCACCACCGGGCCAGCCCAAGAATTTCCTTCAGCATTTTTCTAATGCCAATTTTCTGGTGAAAGATTCTTTTAGCTTTCATCTATCTAAAAATGTCTTAATTTCACTTTGATTTTTATGGATATTTTCACTAGATATAAAATTACGAGTTGAAAGGTTCCCTCCCTAGCACTTTAAAGATGTCTCACTGTCTCTGGCTGTTTCTAATGGGAACTCAGGAATAATTCATATCATTGTTCTCCTATATGTAATGTGTCCTTTATCTCTGGTTGATTTCAAAATTTTCTGTTTCTTTGGTTTTCAGCAGTTTGACTACAATGTGCTTATGTGTGGTTTCCTTTGTATTTAACCTGCTCAGGGCTTAATGAGATTTCTGAATCTGTAAATTTGTGTTTCACAGATTTTAGGAAATTTTCAGCCACTACTACTTCAAATATTTTTTTCCTGCCCCCTTCTCTTTGTCCTGTCCTAATGATATTCCAATTGCATGTATGTTAGACCTTTTTACATTGTTCCACAGGTCACTGAGGTACTGTTTACTTTTTTTCCAAACTTTTTTGTTTTTCAGATTGGATAATTTCTATTGATATTTAAGTTACCTGACACTTTCTTCTGTGATTGCCAATCTGATATTAAGTTCTTCCAACGATTTTGAAATTTCAGATATTGTATTTTTCAGTTCCAGGTTTTCCTGTGCATAGTTTCTATTTCTCTGTTGAGATTTCTTATCTTTTCTTTCATAAGAAGTATATTTTCCTTTCTGCCCTTGAGCATAGAAATAATAGCTGCTTTAAGGTCCCTGTCTGCCAGTTCCAACATCTGAGTTATCTTGGGGTTAGTATCCATTGATTGCCTTTCCTCTTGAGCATAAGTCACATTTTCCTGTCTTTTTTTTTTTTTTTCATGTCTAGTACCTTAGGATTGAATCCTAGACATTGTGATTGTTATATTGTAGAGATCCTGAATCCTGTTTTATTCCTCTAATGAGTACCGATTTTTCATTATAGCAGGCAATTAATTTGCCTAGAACTAAAACACCAATTCACTCCGGGTGTGTGCATACTTTTTCTGCTATACCATATTAATTCCACTTTTCTGATGACCACCCTTGCCATCTTTCCCTTCCAAAGACATCTCTGAGTACCTACTATGATCCAGTTACTAAGTTGGGCACCAAGAATACAATAAGTCAAAGTCCCTGCCCTCAAGGAATCCAAAATACAATTCCTTCCAAGTGTTGAATGCCCTCCAGTTTATGCCTGTTTTTGGTACTCTCCAGTGCCTTCAGGTAGTTGTTTTTCAAAGTATTTTGTTCAGTTTGTAATAGTTACCAGTATAAGGGGTCAGCCTTATAGGGGTTAGATACAACCTGCTCTGCCATTACCAGAAGCAGAAAACTGCTATCCATGAATTTTTGGTTTTGCTACCTGTCTGTTCTATTTTTATGTTATAATATTTGGAGAGATTCAAAAGCTATGCTGCCACTGTCCCCATCCTCTCAGAATCATCTGCTATCTATTTTAATAATAAATACAATACTGCTTAGAATCTTTCTATTACTCAAAGTCTCTGTCCAGACTACTACTGCTTTAAAGGGCAACAATACTTGGTCAGAATGTAATTAATTGTTAGGGAGTAAGGGACCAGTAGTATACTTATTTTCCTCCCACCCCTTCATACCTGGTGTTGCCTTGGCTATTCCCTGATCTGGTAATGTTCCATGTTTCTGATGCTGATCATACCACTCACTCACTGTCATAGTTGCCAGGCTTGGATAACCAGCTCCAAATACTCTGCAAAAAGCACATTGCATTTAGAAAACAAAACAAAAACAGCACTATTAAAAAGCATCTTCTCTTTAATGACAAAACCTGTGTATATTTCAGCCTTGTTCCCCTACCCAACTATCTTCTGAGGAGTTATACAAACTCCTGTGAGGATATGTAAAAAGAGGGATCCACAAAGGGGCATTAAAGTCAGGAGTTTCATGAGATGATGAGTGACCCAGAATCACCTCCCAATAAGCAATCTCAGAGGCCAATGCCCCACAGAGCAGTGATGACACTGTGAAATGGGTATTTATAGTTGGTAGCTCTGAAACATACACAGAAGGAGAGTCTCCTGCTACCCTATGGAAAAGTATCTCAAGAACTCAGAATTAAATTATAAATAGGCAAATATGTCCCTTTGAGAATCACAGCAGAAGGCAGGAAGAGTGGCAATAATGAGAAAAAAATGTTAAGTATACACTTCTTCATTAGATTCTTTCCTTTTTTTTCTGTTCTGTTTATTTATTTGTTTGTTTCCTTTTGAGCCTTTTTAAAGCTCGAGTTTGTGAAGGAAATGTCTGAGGAAGACAGACATGGAGAAAGTATCAGGAGAGATAATATCCCTTTGATGAAAGAATGGCTTCCATAGCTGAAGCCATGACTTTTCAACAATGCCCATTGAGTGTTACTCATGCACTGCCACTGAACCATAAAAGCAGGGGCTTCAAAGGCTACCCACTTTCTAGTACTACCTACTTGGCTTGGGCCGCATTCCGAGTGAGAATAAAGGGCTTCGCTGGAGGCCTCTTCTGATGAGATGAATGAGAAGTTGATGCCTAAAAAGAAAATTAATTATCGGAGGCACATTTGCCATTTTGCCCACCCTATTATGTAGGCTCTTAAGTCTTCAGATGCTTGAAAAGCTCTGGATTCAAAATTTACTCATTTTCTATTTATCAATTTCTAAAGATATAGCAGCAGAACACTAATTAATGGTGGAGATTGCTTAGCTCTTCTGAGGGGGCCTAAATACCTTGCTTTTAAAAAGAGAGGAAAAGAAAGTTCTCCCAGGAATCATCTCATCTCAAGTAAAAAATTACCTGGCTTTAAGATACCCTCTCTAAAGAAGGAAATTCCAAAGCCATCTCCCATGTTCCATTGAAATCCCTTGAGCTGAACTTGAAGCCCCTTTCCTCAGCCTGGCCTTCGGTGGAAAAGCTGAATTATTGAAGAGACTTCTTTTAAAACCCCTTCCAAATAATTATGCTATTGATTGTCAAGAACCCCTAGGGTGCTTTAGAAGTGAATGCTCCTAAATGAAGTGGGGAAGGATAGGTCAGTAGTTTTCATATAGAGGTATACAGAAATGTTTTAAGAAACCTTGGCTTTCTAGGGGCACACTGAAACAAAGTATGATCAAAGAAAAGGTGCTCACTTGGTTCTAGCTCGATTACTCCCAGAACCAATTCCAATACCACGCGAGAGAACATCTTTAAAAATCCAACCAAAGAAGGGAACTGGGCAGGAACCAGAAGAGTTCAGCCTCAAAATGCTTAAAAAACACTCATCTAGATCCGCTCAAGGGGCCTTATGGTGTGAGAATACTAATTGTTCATTCTTTGATCTTTTAACGTGAAGAGCTAGGTTGATGTTATTGTGAGACAAGAGCTCCTGGGTAATAAGTACAAATCAAATTAGGAAGAGGTTTCTCTGAGGACTTAAATAAATGCCTGTGACTAGCTGATAAATTTAACTCAATTCATGTATTCTGAACCAAAGAGCAAGTGGAAGCAGAGCCTATTTCTTTTGAAGCAGCAGCTCCAAAACAGGTTTCTGATCTTCAAAGACAGCCAAAGCTGTGTTACACCAGGGTTTCTCTACCAGTATACTGGACATCCTGTGCATGGAGATGTCCTTGTTATGTCTCCTACTTGGGTGATTAAATTCTTGTGTAAGGTTAAATCTGAATTCCTCCCTCAACCTAAACATATTCCCTGGTCTTTTGTTTTATCTTCTTTCTACTCTTTTCTCTCTCTCCTCCACTTCTACTTTTCTTCTCCATTCCCATCCTATTCCTTTTCCCCTTTGTTTATCATAGTCAAGAACAGATTTTAAGGCCTGCTCCCTAGGCAGTAGCTGTGACTTCCCACTCTCCCCCATGGTATATCACAAAATTACAAATGAATAGAAATGTGTTACAGGTTAGAAAGCAATGAGGAACATTACTATAAGCTAAAGAGAAAGCTACGATAGTGAATCTTCAGCCTTTCTCTACTCATCTTAGTAAGAACAATGAATTTATGGAGACTTAAAAGGATTTTAATTTCATTACTCTCCTGTAGAATATTCAAATCTCTGATGGTAGCTTTTGGAGCCACGTGGACAATGACCAGGCTTACCTCTCTTGAGGAGTCTTTTTCTGTCAGGATCTTTATCTCCTGGTCAATGCTCTCGATCTCCTCTAAGCTGATGCCAACCCACCTCTGAATGTGAAGGAGATAATATTCACGAACATGCTCATCATCTGCTTGACCACTTTCCACAGCACTTTTCAGTGCAGACAACCTTTGCTCTACCTCCTTCTTCTGCTTGTATCTGTTCCACAAAAAAGCATTAACCATGAACTTAAAAAATAAAGTATTCCTTCAAAAGCAGGCCACAAATTACCTTTGCAAATGACCAGGTAGTAAGTACGCTGATTTCCACCTTGGCAGGAATACAGATTCCATAACCCACAGCTTGCTACCAGGCAGTTCCCTTGGACTACAAGGCAAGGAAAGGCCCAGTGGGGGCTGAGAAATACATTCTGAAGCCGGGAAAATATAGAAGTAACCTGATCTCAGCAAGTCCTGCCATCATCTTTAGGGATGAGAATGCTTTGGTCATTTGATTACATCAACCCTTACTAGGTTGGGTGCTTGCCACCATGCTTTCATTTGAGTCATACCTTCAAAGAATCATAGAATCTTAGGGTCATTTACCTGCCACTGATGCAGAAATTCCTTGTGAAATAGTCTAAAAAATGATCGTCTCTTCTTTTCTTCTGGGCAAAACATTCCCAGATCTTCTGACTCATTCTTACATAATTTAGACTCATAACCACCCTGGCTGCCTTTTCCAGGATGTATTCTAAGCATGCCATCTATCATTTATCTGACAAATATCTATTGAGTACCTATTGTGTGACTGGCACTGTTCTCAGTGCTGGAAACGCAGCAGTGTATAAAAGAGTCCTTGATCTCATGAAGTTTTCATTCTTCTGGGACAAGACAGACAAAAAGAAATAGATGATTAGTCAGGTGGTGGTAAGTGCTATGAAGCAGCAAAAAGCGAGGTCAAGTAGAGTGATGGTGCCAATGTAGGGGTGCTATTATATACAAGGTGGTCAGAAGAGACCTCTCTGAAGAGGTGACATTTGAGCAAAAACTTCAAGAAAATAAGGAAGTAAGCCATGCTGAAGGAAAAGCAAATACAAAGGCCCTGGAGTAGGAGAGTACCCGGGCTTGACACATTTGAGAGATAAGAAAGAGGCCAGTGTGGCTGGAATGGAGTGAAGAAGAGTGATAGGAAATGAGGGCAGAAAGAGAGCGCCAGGGCCATAATGTGTAGTACCTTGTAGGCTGTGATACCCAAAATATTAAATACCATGGTATTTTGAGATGGAAAAACCACTGGTAGGCTTTTGAATCAAACACATAGCATAGAGTAATGTGAAAAGCCTTTTTCTGATATGGGCCACTGTGGCTGTTGTATGGAGTGTGGGTGGTGGTGGCTGGGAGGCAAGGGTGAAAGCAGGGAAAGCAATTAAGAGGATACTGCCACAATCCAGGTGAGAGATGGTGACTTGAAATAGGGAGGAAGTGATGGAGGTGGTGAGATATGGATGTGTTTGAAATATAAAAAAGCATTTACTGATTTATTGGATGTAAGGGCTTGAGGGAAAAAGGAGTCAAGGAAAAATGCCAAGCTTTCCAAAAGAAAGTACCTTGAAATATCTCTGCCTGGAACCCCACACCAGACCTCTAGAATCAGATGCACCTCTGCAGGTCTTCACCCTAATCAGAGGACCTTAACCTGAAGTCCACAGAGAGTTTGGAGGAGGGGGAGTGGTCCTTAAGCTCCCTAAAATTTTATACAGAACTCAGCATATATATATATACATATGTATACATATATGTGCGTTTATATATGTGTATGTATTTTTCGCTGGAGAGAGATTTTGTAGTTTTTATCAGATTATCAAAGGGGTCTATGATCTACAAAGTCAAGAACCACTGCCCTGGAAACGCTCTTTATTATAAAAATTTTTAGGCTTTTTTGCTCCTTTTATCCAACAAGTGGACATTTTATATAATGTTACAAATAACTGTCACACCATCATCACAGGTACCCTGAATAAAACACTACAAAGGTTAATTCCTAGTTCATGAATGTTATTAGAGATATTACCTGAGAATGTTTAACCCCAGGTCCACTCCTACCCTTACCCTCTTTCCTGGGTGTACCTAAGTCACAGGGAAAAAAGCCACGAGGGCCTTAGAATCTATATAATCCAGGGTAAACTCTGGGTCAGTCTAGTGGTCCTCTGAATAAGGTTCTTTTGCTTCTTTTCCCATTCTCTGCATGTGCACAGCCCATGAACTTTCTGCTCCTTCCTTCTTTTCCACTTCCTTGCTTCTGTGACTTTGCTCTTTATCATCTTTTAGACTTCTAGCTTTTCAACACCTGTTCTTTTAGGCCAGTGTTTTTTTTTTTTTTTTTTTTTTCTATTTTTGTCTTTTTTCGTGACCGGTAACGGGATCGCAACCCTCAGTGTCGCGCCCGTACCGCGACCGGCAACAGGATCGCAACCCTCGGTGTCGCGCCCGCACTGCGCTCAACCAGTGAGCCGACCGGTCTCTATATGGGATCCGAACCCTCGGCAGGAGCACCGCCGCACTCCCAAGCGCTGCACTCTACCAAGTTCGCCACCGGGCCGGCCCATAGGCCAGTGTTTTCAAAACCTTGTTTAAGCAAAATAATCCTTTCTTCTAATGAGAGTTTATATGAAACCCCACTAAGTAATAAACAGATAAAATCTGCCTTGGTTAAATCAGAGGAGGGCTCCCAACATCCCTGCTACCCAGGCATTGTGGTGGAATATTAGGGATCCAAGGCAGATTGAAAACCACTGTCCTAGATCTTTGTTGCTGTTCTAGATTCCCCATCGTGGGCCATTACATGGAAATACTCCCTAGCACCCTAGAATTCCCTAACCCTGTGACCCTTCTGATTGGGCAACTTTCACCATTCCCTTTTTCTGTTCCTAAGATGTTGAACAGAGCTAAAGAATTATAAATTTATGTCTAATGGGTCAACTACAAATCCATATTATCAAACTTCAGCTGTGTGGTCACTCTTGCTCAGCTATCCTTTTGTTCAGCTTTTGTGGAGACTCCATGCCACCACATGCTCCTCGGATGGCCAGCCAATGCAGAATTCAATTTACCTCTTCAACTTAAAATCTCTGTAGCATCACCCTTCTTCCTTTATACTTATCTTTTAAGGAGCTAATTCTGTCTTTACCAAGGCATTTCCAAGGCAATGTCTTTACTATTCCACTTTTGCTATCAATCTAGTCCTCACTGACATTCTTCTAGGCCTCATTCTATCAATTGTTCTCCTTGTAATTAGCAGCTACAAATTTTCACTCAGCTGGTACCTTCCCCCATCTAAGAAACACCTTCCCACAACCCATTTTCTACCCTTTCAAATGCTTCTCTTTTCTATGCTATAGTGAAAACAGCACTGTAACTGGGAATTTGAAGGCCTCAGTTTAAATCCTAGTCTTGCCACTTACTAGCTATGTAACTTGGGGCAAGTCAATTCTCAGAGCTCATTTCCTTCTCTCAAAAATGGGGACAAGAATGTGTATTTCTTGGGGTAAAGAGGATCAAATGGAAAAATACACATGAATATACTTTGTAAGCAGCAATACAAATATTGTTAGCTGATGAGGAAACTGAGGCTAGGAGGGACTAGATGATGCCTCATCTATTAAGTGGTAGAAACTGGATTGGTCACCCCAGGTCTGTCTGATTCCAAAGTCCAGGCTGTTTCTACTACACTATATTGCTTCCATTTTTCTGATGACCACTCTATCTCTCCCTCTCAAAGACACCAAGTACCTACTATAATCTGATTACTGAGTTGGGCAACAAGGGATACAATGATACAATTAGGATATTAAGGATACAGTTAGTCAAAGTCTCTGACCTTGAGGAATTCAGTTATGCTGTGAGAAGTAGGTGAACTAAGTGCTACAGTATCTGGGAGGGTAGATAGGTAGGGAGAGGCTTCAAAAAGGACATAACATTTGCTTTCTGTTCCCCAGGCTTCTATAAGTACTTCTATCAGTGCCTTGTTGAGTCTCTTCTCTCTTAACTTGTGCCAAGGTTTTATCCCTGGCTTTTTTTCTTTCTATGTGTTCTTCCTTAGCAAATCATCCACACCCACACAAGTAGAGGGCTTCTAAATTTTTCACATTAGCACAAAAGTCTCATAAGTTCTAGTTGCACATTTCCATGTGTCTATGGAAATGGCTATGGCTATTCGGTTGTCACTTTAGGACCTAAAACTAGACTCATTACTTAGCCAGATACCACTTCTTATGTATTTCTGTTGAAAGAATGGAGGTGCTGTTAATCAACCAGACTCACACTCACTCCTCAGAGATGGGAATTAGAGAATATATGTGAGGGAACAGGATGAGGAGAGAGAAAAAGGGAGAGGGGGAGGGAGAGAGAGACACACACATCATGTAGGTGTTTTATTTAGGATAGGCTCAGTATCTAAAAAGTCATAGGTGGGGGGGACTTAACGTAAATAAGGATCTGAACAATCTGTATTCTAATTATATAAATGCTTCTTGCAAAAGTCTTATCTCTGGTAACTGTAACTTCATTTTTATCATTTCATCCTAGTTGAAGCACTATTATTAACATGTTAACTTGTCTTTCTGCCTCTGCCTCTCTCTTCCCTTTCAGTATTCTATACACATCACTTCCTTATGCAGACCTCTGACCATACCACTCTTAGCTTCTGCCAAACCAGACGATTATCTACTCCCTGTATGTATCTTAATCTAACCTGCCTTTGAGCTTTTGCTCATGTTTCTCCTGCTTGTCAACAATAAATATTGTTTGAGCACCTTCTGTGTGCCAGGCCCTGTGCTAGGCATACCACAGTGAACAAGAGAGAAATGGTCCCTGACCTTATGTAGTATACATTCTAGTAGGGGAGAGAGACAAAGTGCAGAAAGATAGACACATGAAATAATTGCATGTGAGACACATGCCATGAAGGAAACAAACATGGGACAATGGGAGAATGACAGACATTAACTACTTAAAGAGACTAGTCTGGAAAGGCCTGGAGTGACATTTGAGCTGAGACCTAAAGGATAAAGAATTAGCCATATGAAGAGCATTCCATGCAAAGAGGACAGCACATACAAAGATTCTACAGAGGGAAGGAGCTGGGGATCTGCTCAAAGAACTGAAAGAAGGCCACTGTGGCTGGAGTTCAGTGAACAAAGGGAGAATGATATATGATGAGATTGGAAAGAAGCAGGCACTAGATCATGCAGGGCCTTGTAGTTAGTGGTTTGGCTATCTCAGGTGAGATGCTGGTGGCCTAGACTGAGGTACGATAGTGAAGATGGAGAGAAAGGGAAGAACTGAAGATATCTTTTGTAGCTAGAATTGACAGGCCTTGCCAATGGACTGGATGTGGAAATTCAGAAAAAGAGGAACTAAAGCTAACTCCTAGGTTTCTAACTTAAATACCTAGGTATATGGTAGTGTACTTACTGAGATGGTGAAGACTTGGGCATGTGGGCACATTTGGGGGTTAAAAAGCAAAGAGTTCAATTTACGGCACGTTAAATGTGAGATATTTGTGAAACATCCATGAAGTGTGTTGGAAGTATAGTTCTGAAGGTCAGGAGGGGTCTGGGCTAGTGATGTGAATGAGGGAGCCATTAGCATAAAGATAGTGTTGATACCTCCTCTGTCAGATATTTTTAAAATATGTTCGAGATCAAGCTTGCAAGCCAAAGAAATGCATATCAGAACAATGATACCTTTTTTTGTTTGCCCAACTGGATTTTCATCTAGTGTCAACATCCAAGACTAGTGCAGTTGGACATACTCTTAAACTTTGTTATTGTGGAATGCAATGTTGTTACAATGTATAAAGAGCCTTAAAATATTAAAACTCTTTGAAGGAAACAGTGACAGATGTACTTAAAGATGTTTTTTCATAGCATTGCTTAGATTAGCACAAAACCACAAACAGTCTAAGTATTTGACAATAACAGATTAGTTTAAATAATTATGGTACAACTACAGGATGGAATATTATATAACTATTAAATATCATGATTTCAAAAGACATGAGGAAATGCTCACAATATGTTAGGTTAAAAAAAAAACAGGATAAAAAGCTACATTTACAGTATTATTCCACATTTACTAGGTAAAATAACTATCTATCTGAAAGGAAATACATCAGAAAGTTAACAATGATCATCTATGAGTGCTAGAATTAAGGCTTATTTCTAATTTTTAAAATATTCTGTCTTGCAAACTTTCTACAATGAGCATTATTACTTTTACATTCAGGAAAATCTGTAATTCCTATTTTTAACCATCCTTCAAGAATCATCTCAAATGCCATTAAAAGGTTCTGAAACCTTTTCCTCATCCCTCCAAACAGATTTGACCACGCCCTCATCTTTCTTCACAACTCTGATCTCTATGCTGTTTACAGTCTTTTTTTGTATACTTATTTGGATACCACCAAACTCACTGTTTAAACTACCTGTTACATGCTGATGGGCTGCCCCCAACTTCTTACAAAGGACAGGATGCTGAATTCCACATCATATCAGTCTATTCTATATCCTCAAAAGTCATTTACTGTCACTTATTATCCCCTAAGCACACTTTAGTACTCTTCTTAGCCCCTATCACCTAAAATTACATTATTATTTCCTAACTTACTTCCTGTCTCCTCCACCAGAATAAAAGCCCCATGATGGCAGTGACTTTGTCTGGGTCTCTAATACTTGGAACAGTTCCTGGCACACAGGAAGGGCTCAATATCTGTTGAATAAATGGATCAATTTTCAGCTTTCTAAACCAAGCCTCTCCTCTGAGCTTCGTGCTACCAGACACCTCTACTTGGATGTCTCCTAGGTACCTTAAACTCAACATGTCTCAATACTGAATTCATTCTCTCCCCTATCCCCTGATCTGCTCTTCCTCCTCTACTCCCTCTCAATGAATTCCATAGCCATCCACCTAAATCAGAAACACAGACATCTTCCCTGCTGCTGCCATCTATCTCACCTCCCACGACCAACACACAGGTTTTCTGCAGATTCAACCCTCTCAAGTAAATATATCCCCTCTTTCCCTCTGTCATTGCTGTTGTGAGCCCTCATCACCTCTGTGACCAAACTGGGTCTAATCTTCTCCCGCATTGTTTTCTATCTGCTGTCAGAGTGTGCTAGTTAAAATGAAAATATGGCCATGCTACTCTTTAAAAAGAAATAAACACAGTTCTTCAGTGGATTCCAGTTACCAACCAAAGTAAGCTCCTTAGCACAGACTACTAATAGCAGCTAACATTTATAGACTACTTACTATGTGCTTTATCTCATTTATGCTTCTTGACCCTAAGAGAGAAGTACCACTATTACTATCAGGTGAGGAAACCTGAGGCTCAGACTCGTTAAATAACTTACCCAATGTCCAATGGCTTAAAAGTAAAGCTGGGATTCAAACCTTGGTCTCAGACTCTACGACCTGTACTCTTAGCCACAAATGTGTAATAGCTGACTTTGGGTGCTTACTGTGTCAGACACTGTGCTAAGTGCTTTATATGTATTTCTTTTTTTTTTTTTTTCCCCTTCGTTTTCTTACTGGTCTCTTTTCTTGGGCATAGGTGAGCCAAACACTTTTATATATTAACCCCAGAGGAGGGGGAAAAACAGTGGATTAAAATCTTACATAACATATCTGTATGCCACATGTAGGCTATATGTATTTCTCTTTTAATCCTTATAACTTCTTTATGAGGAAGAACCTATTATCTGAATTTTACAGCTGGAGAAATTAAAGCACTGAGAGATTAAGTTACCCCAAATCAAAGAGTAATTAAAGGGTGGAACTGGGATTCAAACACCTCCCTGAGTTCTTAGCTCCTTCACCTTCCTCACATCCTAAGCCCTCCTTGGTCTTGACCCTACAACATTCCTTCCCCCTCTCCACCAGCCCCTTTACATTGTAGCATCACCTTCTTGCCTACAGTTGCTGTTCCCCTCCCACACATGCCCACCCCAGCACCATTTCTTTAATGTTATCACCTCTGCTGGCTAATGCCCTCCTCTACTCTTCTTCTGGATAATATTCCTGTTCATCCTTAAACAATTCAGCACAGAAGTCACCTCCAGGGAGCCTTCTCCTCTTTACTGCTCCCTCTTTGGTTAGGTGCCCCTCCTGTTTGCTCTCATAGTACCTGGTACATCTCTCTATGACATCACTTTATATTCCTATTCTGTTTCTATGCCTGTTTTCCTCATCGGACTGTATGCTCTTCCAAAGCAGAGACCACCCATACTCACACAAACACAAACACCCATACAATTTGTATTCCAAGTGCATGGTCCCTAGACATTGTGAGCACCCATTTTTTTTTTTTTTTTCACTAAAAGAGTAAGCAACTTTTTCAGTCACACCACTCTGAGAGACTGTGTCCTTCAGAGATATTTACCTCTATCATATGAGTATTGCTATGCTGTCATATGGAAAAGGTTGGGAGACACTTTGCTAAACTACATTGCTGCTGCTGGAAACCACAAGGTAGTAGGAGTCTGATGGTTAGGTATGATCACCTTCTTGAAAAACTCAGAAAAGTATGCTCTCACTAGGGCTTAGGCTCAAAAGGAACCAAGAGAGTGGCATACACCATTCTGTCCTGTCCACACATAAAAACAAAAAAAACATGCACCGTCCCCACCCAACAGCACTGCCAATGAGCAGCCCTCAAATTACAGCTATTGACCCACCTCTCTATTTTAGCCTGTCTTTGAGATGCCATAGCAACGAGGCTAGGATAGGCCGTGGAGGAAGTAGCAGTGTTATTTTCAGCTGAGTTGTTCTTGGTTCTGGGCAGCTCAAACTTTGCCACCTGATAGTAATGGCACTGGGTTAAGTAGTTCATAAAATGTTCTCGAGCCCACTGCAAATGATCTAGACGCTTGTTGCGGTCGACTTGTTTCAGGGTGAGGGCTCCTTGAAACGCTGGCACCAGCAGGTACTTCAGGTCGGTGGAAGCAATCTCCTCCAAATCTTCATTTCGGCTAGAAAGAGCAAAGAGAAGGCTGTGAAGCCTGGCTGGACATTCAAACTGTGATCCTTGCTTCCTGGGGGAGGGGAGGTATAGGTTGGGAGCGGGGCAAAAGGAAGAGGCACAGAACAGCGGCTAGTGGCACTCAAAGTGGCAGAGCACTCACACACTATGTCTATGACGTCAGCCGACACTAGGGAGCAGAGTCGTGGGATATCAACTATCTTGGAAGAGAGATGGGGTATGTAAACGAGGTACAAGAGACTGACTGCAGGGGGAGGTAGGAACGAAAAGTTCTCAGTCTTAAAGCGCCCCTCCACCCAGACGCAATGGCTCCACCCTTGGTAACCATTATCACCTGCGTTCTCACTCGTTATTCCCCTCTCCCCCGTACCTGAACAAGTCGAGCTCCGATACCATTTCGGCAGCCTTCCCAAGGAGGTCCAGCCCCTTTGACACCTTATCCTGGACTATCCGGGACCCGGTGGGTTCCGTCGCTACTTCTATTTCGTCCAGGAGCTGCTTGCTGGTTTCGAACAGCTCGGGGAGCCGTGGCAGCAGTAACTCGTCTTCACCAGCTGCCATTTTGGGGAGGGAGGAACCTAGAAGACCTCATTTCCGGAGTCAAATGAAAACTGCTATAGCAGGACTCGGCTAGCCCCGCAACGAAAGCGGAAGGGGTGCCGCATTGGTCCAGTCGCTTCACTGTTACTAAAGCGTCCAAGGATTTCCGGGACGAGCCGTTTGCCGGTCCTGGCAACCGTTTCCATAGACTCATTTTACCAGGCAGCTTATTAGAAGTCGTAGGCATCTGTTCGAAACAAACAAACGAACAAGAAAAACCCTAGGCACTGTTTTACGGCCTGCTCCTCGCCGCCGCCACTGGGCCGGGAAGTTCCGTGGGCTCTGAGGCCCAGGAGGGACGAGGCTGAATTCGGAGCGCGAGCGAGTGTGGGCGAGCGCGGGAGGACCGGCGCGGGCGCGTTTTAGGAGTCGGCCAGGCGCTTACTTTACCTCGCGAGTCGCTCCCTAATTTGAGGAGTCCGGGTAACCAGGGAGTCCGGCCGCCGCGCCTCCCACGGGCCACAGGTCTGATCATTCGAGCGCCAAGTGCAAGTAGCGCCCCCCTCCACTTCCTTCCACCCATCAGATGGCGTTTCGGGATCTGCCCTCCTCCCCTTCACGTCACCCCTCCTTCCCACACACACCAGCGTCCTTTTGGCCAGTGCCCTGTGGAGCCCCTCTCCTTAATCCAGATAATTGGTAACCTGAAACTCCGATCACCCCACAGCTGGCTTCCTTTCTGCCAGCTACTTCCCAGGTCAAATGTTACTTCCTCTGTGCAACCTTCCTTGACTTCCCCCGGCCCCGCGCCCTCAGCCGCCAAGGCTGTTTCTTCTGTGCGTCTGATCATAGTACCTACCACACTGTATAATAGCTACTGATTTACAAATCTGTCTCCCTTACCTGACTCAATCTGATTAATCTTTGCACCCCTCTGGCAAGCCTGAGTACTTAAGTACTCAGTGTCATTATGAGAATAGAAAAATGAGGGATCCGTTCGGAAAGCAGCCCGGTTATGCAAAACTGCACTGTTCAATAGGTAGCCACTAGCCACAGGTGGCTACCGAGCGCTTGAATGTGGCTATTTTGAATTGAGATATGATGTAAGCGTAAAATACGCACCAGATTTTGAATATCTCAATACTTTTTACATTGACTGCATGGTGAAATGATACTATTTTGGATACAGTGGGTTAAATATAGAATTAAAACTAATTTCACTAGTTTTCACTTCTTAAAGTGCCTCCTAAAAAAATTTAAATTACATTTGTGGCTCACATTATATTACTACTGGACAGCACTGATGGAAAATACGACTCCACGACGTTGGTTTTTTTGCAGCTGTCTGGTACAGTGATCCGAACCCATAGAGCTTAGTGTCATAACACCACACTGTAACCAACTGAGCTAGCCAGTCAGCCCCTACTACAGGACTTTGAAAGAATGGACATCTTCGAACAACATAAATACATACTGATTACCTTAGGACACACCCTGAGTTGTCCTAGGAGATTTAAGTAGAAGGCACATTGCCTGCCCCTTAAAAGAAACTATTAAACTGAATATGCTTTAAATACAGTTGAGAAGAAAAAAGCTTTTCGTATAAAAACTAGAGGGCAATATAGGACAGTATATAATTAGGTGATATGTTCTATTGTATATGCTGTTGGAAAACCAAGAAATGACAAGTCATTCCTTGCTAAAAGTACTTTCAGAAGGCTTCTTGGGCCGGCCCGTGGCTCACTCGGGAGAGTGCGGTGCTGATAACACCAAGGCCACGGGTTCGGATCCCATATAGGGATGGCCGGTTCGCTCACTGGCGTGGCGTGGTGCTGACAACACCAAGTCAAGGGTTAAGATCCCCTTACCGGTCATCTTTTCAAAAAAAAAAATACCTGTGATAACACCAAGGCCCCGGGTTCGGATCCCATATAGGGATGGCCGGTTCGCTCACTGGCTGAGCGTGGTGCTGACAACACCAAGTCAAGGGTTAAGATCCCCTTACCGGTCATCTTTTTTTTTTTTTTTAAAAAAAGAAGGCTTCTTACACATGACATGCACTCATAGAATTTCACAGCTGGAAGGGAGCCTCAAAAATCAGAGGAAAAAATCGAGACCAGAAAGGTTAAGTGACTTCCCCAACCTATTTGTGACAAAGCCAGTGTCTTCTGAGCTCAATTGATTTGGCTCTTTGATGGAGAAGATCTTTCTTGTGTAATGGAGTTTGGATGTGTTGTACCCTCCAAAACTCATGTGGAAATTTGATCTCCAATGTGGCAGTGTTGGAAACTGATTGAGTCATGGGGCGGATCCCTCATGAATGGATTAATGCTCTCTCTCCCTGGGGGAGGAGGGGTAGTGAGTGAGTTCTCGCTCTATTAGTTCCGGCGAGAGCTTGTTGTTTATAGGACCCTGGTACCTTCTTTCTCTCTCTCTTGCTTCCTGTTGCCATGTGATCTGCTCGTACCTGCTGGCTGCCTGCCACTTTCCGCCATGAGTAGAAGCAGCCTGAGACCCGTGCCAGACGCAGCTGTCCCAGAATCGTAAGCCAGATTACCCAGTCTCAGGTATTTCTGTTATAGCAACACAAAACGGACTAAAACTGTGGAACGTAGTGAAGCCCCAAGCTAGAACACTGCTCCACTAGAGGGAGAGGAGATTGGGGCATAAGTGTTGGTTGAAAAAGCTTCCCAGGTGATCCTAATAAACCTCTTTCAACTCCTGCTTTACAAACTGAGGAGCAAGTGAGGCTCTAGAGAACTGCCTACAAGGGTACTTCAAAAAATTCATGGAAAAATAGAGATTTATCTTTTAATTCTACTTTCCTACAACTTTTTGAAGCATCCTTGTATTTGGTTTATTTGGCACCTCTAGTAACTTTAGTAAACTGAACTTTCAGGGTCAGCCTTGGCCAGGAACACAAAGAAGAAAGATAAAATTTGTGGAGGAGACTTGGAAACAGTAATTGTGAGACTAAAAATAATTTGTTTCTCCTCATTTGCTTGGATTAAGACATGTCTTTAGTGTTGCCTAAGAGGAAAAAAAAATGCAGAATTTGACTCTGATCTTGAAATTTGTAAGACATTTTCTACTGCTTTCAAAATGACAGTCATTGTGGGAGTTGTCAATTACTTTCAGAATGTCTACCATATATTAGAATATCATTTTAAGCATTGCATTTTATCCTATTTTGAGATCCAAGATTATAAAGTGGCTATAAAGAAGAATAATAAATACGAGTTGATTGTTCTCTTTCTGTGTTTAAACACTCTATCAGATTAAATTCTTGTTTTGTATGGGACATTAAAAAAAAATCCTAGTTTAGGGGAACTAGAAGGGCCTTAGAAATCATGAAAGTATAATGTTTACTTAAACTTTTTGTAGTAGCATGACTCTTTTTCCCAACCAAATTTTAGAGAGGTCCATAATTTCTTTTTTTATTGAAGTGTACCAATTATACATATTTGTGGGGTACAGAGTTGAATTTCAATTTCAATATATGTATACAAAGTGTTGATCATCAAAACGGGGTAATTAGCATATTCATCATTACAAAACTTAATCATTTATTTGTGATGAGGACATTCAGTCTCCTCTCTTCTATCTATTTGAAAACGTGGTAAATTACTCTTAATTATAGATACCTAGCTCGACTGTACACCAACAGAATTAATTTTTCCTATCTAGCTGTTTGTATCCATTAACCAACTTCTCACTAACCCCCCTTTCCCTTTCCCACCTCTAGTAACCACAATACTGCTCTCTCCTTCTGAAAGTTCAACTTATTATTGTTTATTCATTTATTTTATTTATTTATTTTTAGCTCCCACATATAAGTGGGAACATGTGGTATTTTCTTTCTGTGCCTAGCTTATTTCACTTAACATAATTTTCTCCAAGATCATCCATGTTGCTGTGAATGGCAGAATTTCATTTTTTTTTATGGCTGAGTAGTATTCCATTGTGTATATATACCACATTTTCTTTATCCAATTGTTTGTTGATGGACATTTAGGTTGGTTCCATATCTTAGCTATTGTGAATACAGCTGTGATAAACATGGGAGTGCACGTGTCCCTTCAACATGATTTCCATTCTTTGGGTATATACCCAGTAGTGGGATTGCTGGATCATATGGTAGTTTTTTCTGTAGTTGTCTGAGAAACCTCTGTACTATTTTCCATAATGGCTGTACTAATTTACAGTCCCATCTATAGTGTTTAAGGGTTCCCCTTTCTACACATCCTCACCAGCATTTGTTATTTTCGTCTTTTTTATAAATAGCCAGTCTAATTGGAGTGAGATATCTCAGTGTGGTTTTGATTTGCATTTTCCTGATGCTGAGTGATGTTGGGCATTTTTTTGTGTGTGTCTGTTGGCCATTTGTGTATCTTCCTTTGAGAAATGCCTATTCAGCTCCCTTGCCCATTTTTTAATCGGGTTATTTGGTTTTTTACTATTAAGCTGTTTGAGTTCCTTGTATATTCTGGATATTAATCCTTTGTCAGATACATAGTTTGCAAATATTTTCTCCCACTCTTGTTGATTGTTTCCTTTGCTGTGCATAAGCTTTTTAGTTTGATATAACCCCATTTGTTTATTTTTTCTTTCGTTGCCTGTGCTATTGAAGTCTTATTCATAAAGTCTTTGCCCAGTACTACGTCCTGAAGTGTTTTCCCTGTGTTTTCTTCTAGAAGTTTTATAGTTTTAGGTCTTATAGTTAAGTCTTTAAGGCATTTTGAATTGACTTTGATACATGGTGAGAGGTAAGGGTCTAGTTTCATTCTTCTACACATGCATATCCAGTTTTCCCAGCACCTCTTATTGAAGAGGCTGTCCTTTCTCCAATGTATGTTTTTTGGCCCCTTTGTTAAAGATCAGTTTGCTCTAAATACATGGATTAATTTCTCAGTTCTCTATTCTGTTCCATTGGTCCATGTGTCTGTTTTTATACCAGTACCATGTTTTGGTTACCATAGCTTTGTAGTATAGTTTGAAGCCAGGTAGTGTAATGCCTTCAGCTTTATTTATTTATTTTTTGCTCAGGATTGCTTTGGCTATTTGGGGTCTCTTGTTGTTCCATATGAATGTTAGGATTGTTTTTTTCTATTTCTGTGAAGAATGTCATTGGTATTTTGATGGGGATTGTATTGAATCTATAGATCACTTTGGGTAGTATAGACATTTTCACAACATTAATTCTTCCAATCCATTGACATGGAATGTCTTTCCATTTTTTGTGTCTCCTCTGATTTCTTTCATGAGTGTTTTGTAATTTTCATTGTAGAGCTCCTTCACCTCCTTGGTTAAATTTATTACTAGGTATTTTATTTTTTTGGTAGCTACCATAAATGGGCTTGCTTTCTTGATTTCTTTTTCTGCTAGTTTATTGTTGGTGTATTGAAACATTACTGACTTTTGTATATTGAAACATTACTGACTTTTGTATATTGATTTTATATCCTGCAACTTCATTGTATTTGTTCATCAACAAATGTTCATCAACTCTTTGGTGGAGTCTCTGGGTTTTTCTATATATATAAGATCATGTCATCTGCAAACAGACAATTTCACTTTTTCTTTTCCAATTTGGATGCCCTATATTCCTTTCTCTTGCATGATTTCTCTGGTTAAAACTTCCAGTACTGTGTCAAATAGGAGTGGTGAAAGTGGGCATCCTT